CATGCTTGTTGACTTGAAATTTCTTGCAGAGGATGAAGACATGGAGACATTTTATGCTGAAATTAATAAGACCATCCAAATTAAATCAACACATACACTGATACTCAGTGACATCAGTGAATGTAAAGATGGGAATAGGTGAGGATGGTAAAAAATATATTGCAAAATATGGTTCAAGAGTAAAGAATGAGAGAGGCCAAAGACTGGAAGCATTGGAAAGTACTGGATATGGCAAGCATTAACAGTGCAACAAAAAATTGAAACAGAATTATCTTAAGTCAGGAAAGATTCATTACTGATGTGAGAATCATTCCTGAATCAGCACTGTGTGTATAGTCAGACAACTGCTGCTAGGTGCATAGTAGATAGAGCATTGGGCCTGAGTCAGAAAGATCTGAGTTCAAATTTGACCTCAGATGCTTACTAGCTGTGCGACCCTGGGCAAGTCACTTCACCTCTGTTTGACTCAGTTTCCTGAAATATAAAATGGGGATAATAAAGGCACTTACTTCCCAGTTCTGCCGTGAGAACCAAATGAGATAATATTTGTAAAGTGCTTAGTGCCTGGCACACTATATAAATGCTTATTTCCTTCTTATTAAGGCAAAAGTAAAAATTAACAGAAAGCTAGGAGAATAAAAATCAGAAAAAGGTATGATATACAAATTAAAATAATTCTAACCAGATGTGTTTAAATGAATTATTAATGTTGAAAAAAATGGGCTATGTATGGAGGAAAAGACATCAGCAACAATTAAAAAATTTCATACAGCAATTTCAAACTCATTCCAAGGGAATTTAAGGATGAAATTGAAAAGTGTGAAATAAACAGAAGAAATGGGGAAAGATCAGCAAAGATTGTTATGCCAAATTCTTTGTAGACAGTGAAATCATCACACTCAACTTCAACATCATAGTCCTGGATATGCTGATAGAGGAGATGAAACAGGTCCTGAAGAGACCAAAGATGAAAAAGGCAGTGGACTGGTCCAGTAGACATACAAGAGATCTGTGCAGGTGGGGACCCACTTATGAGCATGCTGAAGGACTAAGTCTCAAGGTGACTGAAGGAGGGGAAGATGCCAAAGGCACAGAGAAAACCTCAAACCTTATTACTACCAAAGAAAGGGGTACCAAGAGAACATTAGTAACTACCAACTCATATGCCTATTTTTCCAGCTATATGACATCATATAGAAAATCTTTTAAAAATGTTATTGACATTTTTTGGCTTGATTCCAAATGGATACCATTATCATCACCAATATTGCCTATATTTCGCACTATATCCCTCTCTCTACCAACTCTCAGAAGGCCATCCCCTATAATAAAGAATTTAAAAAGAGAAAGGTTAAAAAGTTCCACAAAATTAACCAACATGTCAAAAAAAGTCTGATGGAATATGCAGTATTCCACAACTATGGTCCCCCACCTCTGCAAATAAGAGGGGGAGGTATCTTCTCCTATCATCTTTTTTGTGGCCACATTTGGTTATCGTAATTTTGCAGCATTCAGTTTCAATCGTTGTGTTGTTGCTCTTTCCTTTACCTTGCGTGTATTATTTTCCAAGTTCTGCTTGCTCCATTTTGCTTTGCTTCAGTTCGTATAAATCTTTCCATGCCTCTTTAAGAGAATAATCTTTAGCTAGTCTGCAACTAGGACATACTTAATGAGGGTATTGGTAAGCTTTCATAAACACTATTTTATAGTAGACCACATTTGTACCATCACAGAACTGACAAAAAAAAAGTTACCAACATGTTTATTGTTTGTTGACTTGAAAAAATTTTATTCAGTAGAACAAAACATTGTAATATTGCCTTAAAGGCTGTGTTTCAACAAGATGTGTCCCATACACATGTTAAAATTATACAAGATTGCTTGAAGGATATGGTTGTTGAGCAAATTACTTTGTTCAGCAACCCTCTGATCATTAAGATTAGGCAAGGCATAAAACATGTATGCTCACAAAAGGTGCTTATCACTGTTACAGAGTTTAGTTAGAAGAATTCCTTGTAGATAGTAAGATCTTCCAGGTCCTCCTGTTTGAAGAATATATTATGCTGGTTGCATCAAGACTTGGAACATTGCAATTTCCTGTATGAGATTCATAATGACTTGAAAGATTTTGAATTAAACATCTGCCCAAGAGAAAAAAAAAAAGTGGATAAAGAATGCCTGTTATCTAGACCTTTATATGTAGTTAGATAAACAACTATAAATTGATCGATCAGTAGATACCTAGATGAGTTTGTATGATGACTGAGATATATCTTCTGATAGATGAGTTTATAGGATGGTTGATATACAAATATGTATTTATAAACATGTATATGTATACACATACACACATTTATATGACACTTCAAATGGACAATGAATTGGGCCCAGAATTGGACAGAAGCAGAAGAGTAGGACTGATTGCCCTTTGGAAATTTTGAAGTTCTTTTAATGACTCTAAATTTCTTCCTGAAACAAAGGCCCATAATTTTAATACTAATATTCTACCAGTGTTGTATAACTGTGAGTCATGGAACATTAGGTCTCCAAAGAAGTGAGGGTAAGTATCTTCCAGAGGGTACTGGAGAGGAGAAGAAAGCCATGAGAAGAGAGAGATGGAGAGTACGCCTTTGTTAACAAAGTACCTACTATGTGCTGGGCACTACATTAAATGCTTTACAAATATTCTCTCATTTGATCCTTACAACAACCCTGGGATATAGGTGATATTATTATCCCTATTTTTTTGGTTGAAGAAACTGAGGCAGACAAAGGTTAAATGACTTGCCCAGGGTCACAAAGCTAGGCGTATAAGGCTGAGACTTTAGTCCCAGTACTCTATCCACTGCACCACCTAGTTGCCCTTGTGACAAATTATAAACAAGGAAGCATGAAGAAGAGAGGTAAAGTATATCTTCAAAGAAATGTGTGAGTAAAAACATGAGAACAATAGAATATCCAAAATCTCCAATGTTATCTTACTGATATCAAAGTAAATTTAAGAAGCCCCACCCCCCGAAAGGGGGGCAGGCACCTACGGTAGCAAACTTTGGGAAGGGCATGGATGAGAATTGCACAGAACAGGCAGGCATGGATGGTTTTTGATCTTTATCACAGGAGGGAATACCTATGTTGATGAGCTCACTGATCCATACAAGTCTTTGAAGAAAGAAAAGGCTTCAATGTTCTCACATTTCATAGTAGGTAGAGATGCTCTCTTCTAACTCTATTTCCATCTTTCTTCCTCTTCCCTTTCTCACTCTCTGCGTATCATTATTTTAGGAAACTGGCTCCAAACCTCAGATTAAAATAAAAATTAGGGTCAGAGCACCTATGGAAGAGGCCCTTTGACTTATGGCCTTTATCACACCTGTCTATTTTAGTTATATGTGCCCATATCTCATTCCCCCCTTACCCCAACTTTTCTAGTTTTTCAAGGACAAGGGCTGTGTTTTACTCATCTTTGTAATGCTCCCTATTAGAAGCACATTTCAGTGGAGATTATGATGCCTCCATGAGTGGCAGCATGGTTTAATGGATACAGTGCTGCAGAATCAGGAAGGTCTAGATTCAAACCCCTTCTCTGACAGAGATTTGGGCATGTGGGAAAGTCCAGTGTTTTTCCTTTCTGGGGCCCAGATCCCAACCCCATCATTCCCCCCTCAAACAAATGGGACCCAAATTCTTTTGGAGTAAGGGGCAAAGGTCTCAGCTTCTGAAACTGCTTCCTGCTGGCAAGGGGCATAGAGCTGTCCCTGCCTTGAGGGGGTTCTTACCCAAGTTCAAAGGCTAGCTTCTTTACCTTGAGCTGGATGTGCTGAACCTGGGTGATGCTTCCAGGCAAAGGTTGCCCTAGAGCCCAAGGCCATTGCCAGGGGGGCTCACGCTGCTTCCCCTCCCCTCCTTCCTTTCCCAGGTGGGGGAGGGCAAAATCAAAGGTGAGGGGTAAAGGGTAAAACTCTCTTTTCCTCTGAGAGAGGTTAACAGATACCCTCTTGACTCAAGGGAAGGGAATGACTAGGTTGTACTGGTGTTTCAAAATTCCTTAATGATCAATCACAAAACCTCCAGAATATGAGGTTTATTTGCTCCCTTCCCTCTGCAACTCTGAATCCTCCTTCATGGAGGTTACAGGGAAAGTTAGAATAGCTACGGATGTTCTAATGAACCTTGTCTTTGGCTGAAAGAAGGCTTGAGTCAAATTCTTTTGGGCAGGACCCGTATGTTGTGATTTTGGGGTCCCAGCACCCCTGAACCCCTAAACCGCATCATTTTGGTGGCCCGGACGGGAAACTGCCTAACCCCAAGTTATTCTCCAGCCAAGACTGGAAGGTATGTAAGCCCCTTCTGCCTCCCTTGCTTGCTCTGCCGCTGGGGTCGCTCTCCAAGGTTTGGAGGTGCTTTTCAGGCAGACAGCTACAAGGCTGTCGCGCACTCAGCCTGATGCTCTCAGGCTCTTGGTCCACTGGGTCCGTTCAATGCCATGCATGGGCCTGGGTACACCCCTGGAGCTCGCACAGCAGGCGAGTGATGTGGCTGAGACTCATCACTGATTAACGTCCACTGGGCAGCTGCTTGGAGGATGGACGGCCGAAGGGAGACGCTCGAGATGGGGAGACCCACCAGGAGGCTCCTGCAATGGGGCAGGTGATGAAGGGGACAGCTGGGTAGGCGTGAGACGGAGGAAGAGAGAAACCGGCCATACATGGCAACGGACTGCGGGGAAGGGCGGGAGAAGGCGAGGTCGGGGACCTTCGTGGGGAGAGAGAGACAGAGAGAGACACAAGAGGTGGGGAGGAGGGGGAAAGGAGTTTGGGAGAGAGATGGGTTTGAGGGGCAGAGATAACAAGTACCTCTCTGAACGCGACCCACCTTCTCAACGGACGCGCCCGATCGCGCACGCGCACAAGCACACATTCACGTGCACGCGACGCCAAGTCCCTGGGACCCGGGGCTGGCTGGCTGAAGGGGATTTAAAAGTAACTGGGACCTAAACTCACCCTGAGCTCGGGGTCCCCCGGGGCCTCTGGCGGCGGCGGACGCGTCTCAGCCTCTCAGACTCTGGTCCCAGCCAAGGACCGGAAGCACTCACTGGGTGTGCAGCCCAAATCGGGCCCCCCGGGTCTATCCGAAGGACGCTCTAGGGCTCTTGGAGGACCCTACGCTTCTTTTTCTGGCGCTGATGCCTGAGCAGTTTCCTGGAGTGGCTGCAAGGACTCCCCAGCCTTGAGAACTAGGAGCTCGTTCCTCCTCTCTCCACCTGTCGGGCCGTCCCTCCCCAGGACCCTGCCCTCTTCCCCGGCTTCTTAGTGACCCCGAATACCAAGAGCCACTCCTCATTCTTTGACTCGACACTCCTTTACTGCAGCGTCGGGAGCGCGGAGCTCTGGCTAGGATTCGAGGGGAAGCCACCTGGCTAAGATCACTTCTTTCCTCTCCAGGCTCTCTTCGTCCCGTGGTACTTTCCCTGCCACCTACAGACATATCTGGCTCTCCCCTACCCTTAAAAAAACGCGGCCCTGTCATACCCTCAGCTAATAATGATAACTGCTCAACTTTTGTATAGCACTTTAAGGTTTGCGAAGTGCTTTACGTGTATTAGCTCATTTGATCCCCAACCACCATGTCAGGTAGCGCTATTCATCCGGCTCGTTTTACAGGTGAGGAAACAAGCTGAGAGAGGTTAAATAACTGGCCTAGGGTCACCCAGGTAGTAAGGGTCTGACCCTGGATGTGCATTCGGGGCTCCCTGACTACAAATCCAACACTCCGGCCACAATGCTGCCTAGCAATCATCCTATATACCTTTCCCGTTCACGATCAAAAACTTAGAAGGGAAACTGTCTACACTGTTTGTCTCTAGCTCCTCTTTGCTTGCTTACTTCTCAGTCCCTCTAATCTGGCTTCTAATACCGTCACTCTACTGAAACTGAAATAACTCCAAGGTTACCAAGGATCTCCTAATTGTTCGGTCCAAAGGTAGTTTTTTTTTTCCCTCCTCATCTTCATCTTTTTGACCCCTGTAGCGTTTGAGACTGTGGACCACTTCTCCTCTGGATACGCTCTCTTTCCTGCTTTTTGTTTTTAAAAGTTTTTACACTGCTGTACCTTGATTCTTCTGTTTAACCAATTCCTAGTTTCCTTTATTGAATCATCTGTCCTGCCCTGGACTCCTGGGTTCAATTTTGTTACGTCTGCTTTTTTCTCTTTTACCCTGTCCTGATGATCTCCTCATCTTCAGTGGGATCTATTATCATTTTTAAGTAGATGTGGGACAAACCTAAATATACAGCTTTCATTTCTTTTCTAAGCTATACTCCCGAATTTCCACCAGCCTATTGGATATCTCTGCTTAGATGTCCCATTGCCATCTCAAAATCAATATGTTCAAACCAGAATTCATTATCATTTATCCTAAATCTGCCCCTCTTCTTTATCTTCCATATTTCTTTTGAGAGCACCACAATTCTTCCTAGTCACCTGAATTTGTAATCAGTCATCTTCACCTCTTCATTCTCCCTTATCCTCTGTATCCAATCAATGCTACCCTCCTGCCCCAAAATTACTTTAAATTTCCTTTGTGTAGATTTTGTATTTTCTTATGTTACTTATGTGTTTTCTTATCTGTTTGTATTTTCTTATCTGTTGTTTCCCCAGTAGAATATGAACACCTTGAGAGCACGAGCATTTGTCATTGTATCTTTAGCATCTTGCACGAAGATTTGCCTGTCCAATTGAGGAAATAAGAGGTGGATGTAGATAACTGGAACTGGAGCCCAGTTCCAATGCCAGCATCCTTTTTGAATGTGTATGGATGGAGGTGACATTCCCATTTGATCTCATAGCACCTTGTACACTCATCTCAGTGGCTAAAAGTGCTTGAAACCCAAGTTCAGTTCCCTTCTCAGACACTCACTTAGCTGTATTCCTGACCAAATAGCTTAACAGGGGTGGGGAACCTTCCGCCTTTTGACTGAATCCAAGTTTTACAGAACAAATCGTCTTATTAAAGGGATTTGTTCTCTGAAGTTTGGATTCAGTTAAGGGGCCTCACTTGAGGACCTAGAGGGCCACAAGTGGCCTCCAGGCTGAAAGTTCTGAACCCCTAGTTTAACCTCTATCTGCCTAAGTTTCCTCATCTGTAAAAAAGAAAAAAAAATAATAGTTCCTAGCTCCTAGGTTTGTTGTGAGGATCAAATTGATAAAATATGTACTATGCTTGGTAAAACTTAAAGCATGATGTAAATGCTAGCTATTATTTTTATGTTTACTTGTATACATATCTTACTTCAGTATCTCAGGGAGCATGATGATGACCTTGGGTTATCAAAAGTTATCCCAGGAGATCAAAAGCTATCTCAGGTTCTGTTGAGCTGAAAAAGCTTGGAAAACTAGCTATGGATGCTGTCATCTGGGGACTTGTTTAGATAAATATCAAAAGGCTTTTAAACAAGGTTTTCCAGAGGGAATGATTTTTTTTCGGCCAAAACAACTCAAGAAGGGTTGTTATCTTTACTAGTAGAGGAAGTCAGTCATTCCCCAGATGACACCTCAGCTTATTCAGGTATAGGCATATTCACTTTTGTGTATAGATCTTAATCCTGATTGGGGCTCACACCATTCTGAAGGTAGTCAGACATCTTCCTTACTTTAAGACTAGGATTCTGTGTTCATGCTACAATATGGGATATTAATGCAAAGAGACAAGAGATTTGTCTGCCATTTATTAGTTGTGTGACCTGGGGCAAATTATTTCTCTTTTTTGATCCTCAGTGTCTTCATCTGTAAAATCAGTATAATAATACTTACACTAAACCTTGAAGCTCTAGATGAATAAATTGTTTTGAGGTTACCAGCTCTGCACACCATACCAGGTGTTCTGAAGATTTGCCCAGGTGCCTCGCATTCACTTCCCCAGCAGAATGGTTCTCTAAAATCCTGTCTCCACCATGTCAAAATTTCTTCACAGATACAGCAATAACAAGTCATCTGTAAAAAAAAATCCGTGATCTAATTTCCACCCAGAGAAGAAGCTTACTCTCCGACCTTGTCAGGTGCTGGGGGGTGCTTAGAGCTTGATCAGGCATCAGAGAGGCCAAGATCATCCACTGCATCTCAGGACATCATCAAGTCATCTTAACTTTTGTCTTGCCACTGGATTTCAGGAAGATAAAGTGATGACTGTGCAATCCTGCCTCACTTCAATCCAATTCACTCGAAAGTCAAGAAATCACCCATAATGTCATTGGTTCTCTTAAAGAATGAAGGACTGACAGTAACAATATTTGGCAAGCCTTATCTTGCCCAATTTAGGTTGCATGTTTGATTAAACCTTTCTTTTCCTTCTCCATTATAAATTCTATTCTATAATAGTTGCTTCCCCCTGCTCCCCCTCACGTTTCCATCATTTTCATCAACAAGTTCTCTTTGTTGAAGAGAATCAGGTTCAAAACAGAAATTCCCTTCGTTGTTTCATCTTTTGAAGTATGGAATTATCCTTAAAGCAAGTCAAGAAATTATTAGCTTCTTTGCTTTTAGCAGAGAGTCCTACAACATATGTTGGATAATTGAAGCTCCTGATCACTACTCTCATGCCTTTCTGATAGGCTTTTGATATGATTCTTGAACTTAATTATTTCCTTTCTATTTATATGGTCTGGATTATGCACAAATGATCATATTCCTTTTGTTTCTGTCTCTGCCTCTACTGATCTTCACCCAAATGCTCTCCCCCCCCATGCTTGCTCTATTTCCTTCATTTCCTCATAGATCTTTCTCTTTTTGACATAAACTTATGCTTCCCCTGCCCCACTCTACTTAGCTTCACTTTGAATAACACATACACTTCCAAAACCATATTCCAATCATGGATCCCATCCCACCAAATCTTAGTGATATCCATAAAGTAACATTTTGATATCTATGAATTAGGTGTTCTAGTTCATCTTGATTGTTATACATATTTTATACATTTGTATATAGACATCAAAGACTGTGGGTTTTATTGCTGACTTTTTTTTTTTAGGCAAATGGGGTTAAGTGACTTGCCCAGGGTTATACAGCTAATAACTGTCAAGTGTTTGGTCTGAGGCCAGATTTGTACTCAGGTCCTTCTGCCTTCAGGGCTGGTGCTCTATCCACTGCGCCACCTAGCTGCCCCCTTATTGCTGACTTCTTTCCTAGATTATGTCTTCTGTAAATTTCTTGGCAACTCTGCTGCTACTGGGGAGGGGCACAGGGATGTAAATACATAGTCATACTCAATGGAATTTAGCTTAGTGGGTACACATATGGATTTTTCTCCTTCTATCTTCCTTTTCAGTTCAAATTCCTTTTGATTAGATCCATAAGATCCCAAGCCCTTTGTTTGGTATGGCCATAGGCTTATAATTCTTATACTTTAAGCTGTGGTTCAGAAATCTAAATTCCACCCTCATACACTGTTTTCTTAATTTTTTTCTGTTCACATTTCACCTTCAAATCTCAAGGCATTTATTAGTGACTTGAAAAAGTGCATATGTACCTGCATATCGTCTGTGTGTTTATACTACTCATGTACACAGAGACCAGAGGGTTTTATGCTCACCAGAATGCTGCCCCAAAACTAATGATTTTGTTGCTGGCAGATAAGAATGATAAAAGTAGGAATGTAGAACAGGGATAAAGGCTGATGATTTTGCAGTTTTCACCTCGCACATCAATCAGATTTTATTACCCCAGATAATGCAGAGTGCATGTGAGGTTTTGAAAAGATGGAAGAAAGGAAATATGTGTTTATTAAGAGCCTACTGAGTGCCAGGTATTGTGCTAAGTGTTTTACAAATTTTATCTCTTTTGCTTCTCACAACAACCCTATTAGGTAAGTGCTATTATTATCCTCATTTTACAGATGAAGGAACTGAGGCAGACAGAGGTTAAGTGACTTGCCTAGGATCACATAGCTAGTAAGTGTCTGAGGTTGGTTTTGAATACCAGTCTTCCTGACTCCAGACCCAGTGCTCTATCTAACTGGAGTGAGTATTGGGTAGGTTTCTAGAAATAGGTTTTTAGGGCCATAGAAAGATAATCTGAGATTTT